AAAAGGTTTTTCCTTTTATTTTCACTTTCCTCAAAATGGTCCCGCGTATTTCATTTTACAGTGCATGAATGCCCCCAGAGGTGTACCAGAGCCCTAGGCCGGCGCTGTGTCCACAAAGACCTCCGCCGCACTTCCAACAAAACGACTAGCAGGCTTTATCCCGGTGGGCCATCTTCTTGCAAGCACATAAGTCAATAATACCAGATAAGGTCCGCAATTTACAGATTCGGCTTTCCTAAGAGTTTTCTTCCCCTGGCATCCATGTAAGTTAAGAAACGAAAGCCGCTGTATGTAGTTTCGGTCATCTGGAACACGCACGATATCGTCTGTCTTCCATAGATACAACGAACTGCCAGCGGGGCGTACCAGGATTACACATATTTGATGGTTGTAAAGTAGCGGTTCAAATTCTGCATTGAACAGTAGGGACTTCCAATGCTGAGTAGCACTACATATTTTAAAGGCAGTTTACAGCTCAATGCGAGACAGGTCACATCCAATATGGGCAGTTACAAAATAATTCCTAACAGAGTTGCTGTCGGCAAATATAGTAAATACGAAGGCATAAAAACCCTGGTAATGTTTGCCCAAATGGTATTAATGCAACGTAGAGTGAGGAAGCGCGTGCTAATAAGCGATCGGCTCGATTATCAATTTCTAGGATCTAAAAAGCCTTTACATCACCCTCCACAGTCGTGCGTAGCACTTGTCCTGTTGTTACCCTAGGTAATTATTTCTTGAAGGCCCAGGGCCGAAATCAATTTACAATGGTATATCATTCTCCTTCCATGCTGTCCTTTCTCTGATGAATCTCTGTGTTGAACGATGGGTGGCAATACCGGGTTTTTATCAACTGGCTGCAGCCTTATTTGAGACATCAAGACACCCCTTGTAATATTGTAACGCTATGTACTAGCTTGGGCGGGTGCATAGATAGGTGCATAGATAGATGTCCTGATCCAACCATCCTGTGTATGGAGCCGAATTTCTGTCAACTTGTCAGGTCTGTCCCGCAGAGTAGCTTGACTGCCTCTGGACTTTCTTACCTGTATAAAGCCGAAGAAAGGCCGCCTGATCATCTACAGCCAATATGGAATTGCATGTGAGCCCTTCAGCCGTCCTCCGTCGCTCGATCCTCACCTACCCACTAAACCTCCAATCCTCAATTCATGCCCAATGGCACTAGCCATGTTTAGAACGGTAAGAAGCCATCATTCTGACGGACATTGGCCGGGTTTTCACAGTATCTCTCGAAATGTAATGTTGAACGAGTTTGGATGCAATCACCCCTTGATCCAAGGCTGCTGTGTCCTCTTTTTGCGTGTGTCTGTGTGTGTGCTTTCTTTAAAGCATCAATACAAGGGCTAGTATAGTACTAGGATCTTGTAAATATTGGGAAACTTAGCCGACAATTTAAATTTTATTGGCGAATCATAGGTCGCTAATGGCACAGGAATTTATACCCGGACGATTCAAAAATAGAATCTACCTTCTCTGGCCGTGAATTTGGTGGAGCTCTGTCACTACTTCGGTCGTATAGAATCTAGACCCTGAATTCTAATCAGCTTCAATCCGTAACCACTCTCTATATCAGGCTAGCCCCGGAGTAATATGGTGAACTAGATCAATAATAGGAGTTTTAGGGTTACAGGAGTGATGTTGTAATAGAAATACCCTTGCCCTCTATAAGCTCTCGATAATTCGAAATTAAAATAATTTTCTGAGTTACTCCGCGCTGTTCCTCTGATCTGGTTCTGAATCGTCCCGATCTGTAGCCATGCCCTAGCTAATCCTCCAATATAACTTACAAGCATATCCTTGTTTCATCCCGCCCCGTAGCCGTCCAGGCCTTACTAAAGTGGGACGACTATCCTATATACGGCTCTTGGGATGCTGATCCCGATGATAATCAACTATCATGGTCATCTCGGCCGGTAGGAAAGCACACCCTCGAACATGGTCCTCACAGCTTGAACCCTCCTGGGAAACATAAGCTATGGATCCCCGGCACAAATTCCACCTTCTGACCTAGTATATCATATCACTTTGTAGTTTCTATGGTACATTTATAATTATTGAAAATGATTGCCAATCTTTCTTTATTTCGGGCTCCTTGCATATTCTCCCTTAGATCCGGCACAACACAGGCTATAGCCCTTGACCTAGACTACCCCCGTCAGCCGTCAATATATGAAGATAAAAGCCCTGCACCACCCGCACCCCACCTAGTGACCAATGCTCCAGAAACTCTTCCACAGGAAAGCCAAGGATACTGAAGACACACCACCCTTAAAGGAGGCATTCGTCGCGATAAGGAAACATGGTTTGTTCGACCAGCCCCCCCCCCTGAGGTTCGGCATGAAGAGTTAACCTTACCACCATTTCAATTAGAAGCTCAATAGCTCATCCCAGAAGACTGCTGATGTCTCTCACTCGCTGGACAGAGTACGACTATAGCAGTCATTCATTTTTCTAGTCCTGTTACTGAGTTATGTAGATAATGGAGCTGAGCCAGGCTCTCGTGACGTTGAGTCGGCAATCATTGGCATCAATATGCGACAAGCAGGATGCCAATGTATTACCTGCGCCAAGGGATATTGACGAGATGGTTGGCTTGCAGCTCATGCTCTCAGCAGAGCTTTCCCGGTTATATGACGCCCTGGATCGCGAGGAGCACTGTTAGACCAAATGTGTCCTGGAGTTTTAATTTACTCTGCGGGGTTTAGCCCTTATCCACACAGTTCCTTATCGGTGGAGCAAACAAGGGACTGAGGAAATTTCACCATTAATGCCACTGCGCAAGTTCAAGAGTGACATGAAACTATTTAGTCTCAATTATATACATACTATTATTTTCAAATAGAGACCTTCCTGTTTCGAACCCGGCACAGCATCTGCTAGCACCTACAATCTTTGTATAGAACAAGTGGTTAAATCTGTAATCGACCTCTAGGGACCGAATACTAGATGCAGATGATTTTGATTGAATCTAACTAAGTAGTTGCTAAATGGAAGAAGTGGGGTTGACCGCCAAGTGGTCCGCTTTGATAAAAGCTGGCAGATGAAATGACGGCGACAACATCATATCCTATTTATTCATTCCGGAATTGGCACTACATTGTCGGATATCCTATCCGTACGACACTAGCTTCATCAAAAAAGCTTTGCCCATTCATGGCACCATGCATGCAAAGAAATATGATATAGGGCTACGGCTCAACCATTCATGATGGTTCGGCCAGATGCACAAGCGGGTAGACTCGGTGCCTATATCTCGGCCGAAGCTTAATCACAAATGTGGTGTGTGCAAAAGTACATATCTTCAGTTCTTGGGCGCTTTTTTCCACTGTGTATTTGTAAATGTTGTGGAGATTTTAGTGCGTAATCGGCTCCACTTAAACTCACTGGCTATTCTTCAATGTGGATACGCGAAGCTTGGCTATTCGTTTTCGGATTTGTTTCCCGGGCATTAGGGTCAAACTAATGATACCTTGTATGCGTGGAGCTCAAGATAGGTTTTTCTTCTTCTTTCTTTTTCTTTCTTTTTTTTTTTATATTTTTCGTTCGGTTGCAAACAAGTTCAGGAGTGATGTTGCTGGTTGACACCTATGAGCACTTGATTTACATGCCTATCAGATCTTTGTCCACCTCTTTTCATTCTATAGACTGCACTACTACAGAGTACCAAATTACTATCTGGGTTGTTCAACAAAGAACATGCAGAGTAAATTACATCAGGTCCAGGACTGCGAAACCGAACTGATAGAGGAAATTACATAGGTGAATATCATTTACTACCCGTTTACTTATGGAGATAAGTGACAGATGTGCATGTGAGCTGCTAAATGTATGGTCGTAAAGCCCCTCTTTTTGGATTAAAGCATTTCTGATTTCAACAAGGAAGAGATATTTGAGTCTTTGCCGCCCGTTTGAATTTCTTTCGAATAGACCCTTTGCGCAGCCCACTCGTGGTTTGGTACATGGTCATCCCTTGAACCTAATCTCCATTCAGTCCACAATGTGTAGACTAATCTTCCTTGTTCGCCTTCAACAACGGTCGCCCCATTTACGGAACAAATAAAAACTAAGTTGCAGGTATTGCACGGCAAGATGTACTTGCAGGAGCTGCAGCTGTCATTCTATGGGCATAGTGTAGTTTGACAGATATTAGCGAGCCATATATCGATCGAGCGGTATCCACAGGCCATCCATCCAGAGCATTCGAACATTTCCCTATCCCAGATTTCCTAGCTTCTATGGAAGGTTGATACTCCGTCTTATCCATACAAATGTCCTCCCTGAAAGCTCATGTTTGAGAGAGAATATGCTAGTATATCTCTATGCTTTAGACTAGATCTACAATGTTGTACACTTCAAGTTCTTCCTGTAAGCGGCGAACATCAAGAAGAAGACCATCGGCAAGTCTCAAGCCATCCATTTCCATCTCCGTAATAACGTGTGGAACAACAAACCTGATCTATCTTAGTATTTGATTACCAAGGTTGTATTTGCAAGCTTTAAGACGCTGGGACCATACGATGCGTAATAGACCGGAGGCAAGGATGCGGTCGGCAGGATGAAGCTAAACTCTGTTGCTTCATGTACAGCCAGCCTCGCTTTGATCCTAGTGACATGTACGTCAGAGAAGTTTATTCTTGCGGCTGTAGCCATTAGAGAAATCGATGGGGAAGCAGTACATCCTCTTGACTTCTTTCTCGCAGTGACCAAACGACTCGAGAGTGCTGTGCCGAACGATAGCTAGCTATATTATGGTTAGTATTTCATTTTGAATGAACAGAGACGATGTTCCAACTAACATATCGAGGCATTGCCTAATGGCCGGTATGGGTTTTCGGGATGGGAATCTGGTAACCATGCAACCAACCACCAAGATGAACAGCCATTGATGGACTGTGGGTCGGGCGGCTTTACCGCTCATAATTATCCACACTTCATGACAAAATAACCAGCTCTTATATACAAGATAGTGCAGTACTGGCCATCGGTGTCTCGGTCGAGGTTGAGAGCGAACGCTCGGGGTAAACCGCCGTTGTGGCGGAAATTCCGGATGGTACCGATCGTATAAGCCACATCACATATCTTGGAACTTTGGAAAGTTCGACACAGCCGACATGTTTACATCACGTACCGTAATTGTTGATTTCTAATCTTTCTAGAATCACTTTAGGACTCCAGGATGACACTCGGTGAATATACGCTCAAGTGTATACGGCCGAGAGCTGGTCTAGGTTGCATTCTTAAAAGTCTCATCCATATCTAATCTTAATATCATATTAGCACCCCAAATACCGTATATGGATCGTAATGAGGCCCAGTAATCTTCCTGATTATTACTGGAGAGTATAACTCCTATGTATGGTTAAAACATGTAATATGTTAGGTTTGTTGGCAACTAGTGTACGCAGAAACAATAGGCAGATTCACATAATAAAGAACTTATTTTAGGAATGTAATTATTCAAGTGGATCGATGCGGAGATCTAATCCTATTATTACATGTTAAGGTTACACGGTACGATAACAACCAAGTAAATTATCAAGTCGCTTCGCAATCTCCACATAATATATAGAATACTAAAAACCCATGGCAGAGTTTCTATGCTTGCTAGACGTATTGTAAAGACTTCAAGTTGGATAGTTACCAATAGAAAGCGAGTCGGGTGACTCGGGTCCATTCCTTCGCCTAAGAATCGGCAAATGACGAGATGACTCTCAACCTAGCAACGCCTAAATTAAACCAATACTACCGCTTTCACTGAGAAAGAAGAAAATCCTTCGTAATATTCTTTCATCCTGCCTCATGCCCAAATGAGCTTCGCAATTTCATCATCCTGAGTTCCAACTTCGTGGCCCTCCATTTCCTCGTTCCCCTCCCTATATCTCCATCTCTTTCCCATCACCTCCTTGAAGACCTTGGTATCGATCTCCCCACGCATTATAGTCTCAGAAAAAGGCTGTGTCGGCTTAATCCCACCCAGAGGCCTGAGCGTCACATTCAAGTCAGGCGCAAGAAACAAAACCGCGCTCAATCGACGCACGCCCGGTGTACGTCTAACCCGGTGTCTAGCTGCAGTAATCCGCCCACCACTAAGAATGACCGCGCACCAGCCAGTCAGGATTACAGTGGCATCGCCCGGAGCAGGGACCCACGAACTAGGTGCATCTGCATCCTCGAGTTCAAGGCCAGGGGTACCGTCTTGGAAGATTATAGTGAAGGTGCCGTAGTCTGTGTGGGCGCCGCATCCATTTAAGGATCCAGAGGCAGCGGTGACGGGGTTATAGTCGCAAAGACGGAAGTTCATGTTGTAAGTACTGTGTACGGCTGTAAGATCGGCGCCAGCGATGATACTGAGAGAGGAGAGTATCGATGGAACATATTCCGTGCTGAGCGTGTTGAAGAAATCAAGAATGTCCTTGAGACCGTGTCCAGCTAGCGACTGCTGCAGAGAGGCTGGGATCAGAGCGACACGCTTTGGAGAGAGGTCGATTGTGAATTTCTGGTCTGAGGAGGCCTTAATAGTTGCAGCTGTCTTAAGGATGCCGCGACGGGGGTAGATTGCATTGAGCTTGGCAGCATCATCTGCATGAGTGTATAGGTGATCGAAGAGGGTACGGATGGCGGAGAATGGTGCGCTAACGTCTAGCCTGACGCTGGCCGCCATAGAGTTCGGTCCCAGGAGAGAAATAATGGGGCATTCTGTTGCACTTGGCTGGTAGACATTGGGAGTAGTCAGTGGGTGGCTGACTGTAATCTGAGCGGTAGCCATGGCAGCTGAGTAAGTGGATAATACTAGTAGGCAAGGCAGGCAGGCTGAGAAGGAGTGGAAGGACAGTTGTAGAGAAGAGGTGATAGTATGCCTTTATATAGCGTCTTGCCCGCAATTGAAATTCATGGGAATGAATGTCCCGCTATTCAATTTAATCTTATTACGGTAGACTATAGCTATAGCAGCCACTCGGCAACAGCGGGATCTTAGTGAAGTCTAAAAATTCATTATTTCTTTATTTATAACCAAATCAGTATATGCACTAAGATGTTCATATACTCTATAGTATAGTCCCCTATCATGTATAAGTTTTAAAATAAAATTCGTAAGAGATCACTTTATATTATGTTCTTAACGGATTGTGCTCGATATTATATGATCTAAAAATTCATTTTCAGTTTCTTCTTAAAAAGATATACTACTAAGTTGGTAGAGGATAAACTCTATAAGTACCAGACTCGAGATACTCAGTACAGTAGTCAATACATACATTGTCAGTGTCACACATCGAATGGCTGTGCCGTTTACCTGCATCGGCCACCGAACGGGATCTTGGCTTTAAAATAGTAGCTGGCAGACTATATACCAAGCCAGTCTTATACGCACGATCCTGGCACCCTTCAGTACAGGATATTTGACCAAAGATTAGCAATCCTTTAGAATGGTAGGAAGCCAAGAATCAGTTTCTGTCTTGAAAGTTACGACAAATAGTATCTACTGCGTGCCTTGGGTTTCCTCAGCCTACGTACCCTTATCTAGTTGACAGGTATTCTACCCTGATCAATAGATTTCTTTGATAATCTCGACCCTAAGATTCGGTTTGATCTTTTGTCGAGTAAGTAAGTGAACGTATTGATCATGGCTCTTGTGGCCTGTCTGAAGAGGCGTTCTGCGTCAATAGTGTTGTACTACATGAATACGGAGGCCTGCGGAATGTCCAATAGGACAATATTTGAGCGCTCGATAGACAATCCAGGCTTGGAGTCTCCAAATAGGAACGAAGGAGCAAAAGCCTTTCGTGTGGATAGCTGTGCCCTCAAGTAATTTCGCGGATTGGGTTCGCATCGTGGTGTTATGAGACAATCAATGCACACATTCCATTTTTCATGTCTTAGAAATTACATACAGGGTTGAGGACCAAAGGTCTGTTGTTAGACATCGCTAACTGACGTGCTTAATTAGGCAGCGTCAACAATTTATATCACTTTCGAGGTACAAAACCAAATCGACGGAGGCACCTAAATAGGTTAGCATCATTGGGCCAGAATCATAGGCTATTCTATCTATGAAGCTAAGTGACAAGATATCCATATGAGCGCCCTGGTCGCATGAAGAGAAAATGTAGATTTCTACACAGAGCACAAAAGGTGTGGATAGCAATCAATAAACACAGATCTCGGTAGCCACCAAATAGCGATGTATGCTGCCAGGGTCTGAGAGTATAGTATGCTAACGTGGACTCAGGCCTGTCTTGTCCTATCTCCATGGTCATGCTTATGCTGCTTCGCGGTCACAATGACATCTGAATGAAGCGCCACTCCAGCCTCCGTCACAATGGTATCCAACGGGTCCCGTTTCAAAAACATCATTTCACAATGATCCAAATGAGCCAGGTTATTATACCGATGCTCAATGATTGTCCCCTGTTCCACAGCCAGAAACATTTTCTTCCAATAATAAGCACAGTGAACAAGATGCCATTGGTGCGTTGTAAAAAAATGACCCCCTGTCTCAGGCAGCATCGAGACTTCCTCAACGGACAGAACTTGTGTTTTATTCTTATCCCCGTAGTACGGCCAGCTACCATCAGGGTTCGGTCCCGCCCGTTCAAAGCGATCTATCAACTCATCGTTCCGGCACGCCGGAGGTAGCCAGGCTGCAGCGAATGAATCGTACCGACATCCGTTGGCAATGGCCTCTGAGACGGTTTCACCGCAGTTGCACGATATTGGTCTCAGAGATCGAAGGAACCAATAGACTTGGTATCCTAGGTTCATGAGACCGATTCCGGCAAGGAGTATGAGGAAGGTTTGTTTGATAGGGGCTCGGTAGAAACTCTCACAACGACGTGATCTCCTTGAGTGTTCCGGGGTGAGGTAGGCGTCGTCGATGTCATTTTCTCTTGGTATATCTGATTCAGAGTCTCGGGCGAGAGGAGAACCGATATCGATACTTGGTCTGTCGCTGACTGGCTTGTATTTGACCAATGAATGGCTTTCGATCTGTGTCTTCAATAACTTACTACCCCTTCCGAGCATGGCTGGCTTATTATATGAAAATGGGTTGTTCGCAGTATACCGTAGTTTAAAAATGGCGTATTGGTGTGTTCCGATGGTAGTTAGAAATGAGGGGGGGGAGGGGGAATAGCTAAAGCATCCTTTCTTCCACTCACCGATTATTTGCCGTCTGGAATGTACTAGCTACGTCTAGCATTTCATGCGTATACTTTGTGACAGTAATGTCAAGGTCCTCTGACCGACTCTGGCATCCCTCTTGGAAAGTTGTCAATTGGAGCTCCTTGCATGACCTTGAAATCGTCCAAAGTCGTGCAAGTCTGTTTTACGCAAGGGGCTATATGTCACATTCATAGGTACCAGCAATTGCGTCAGATGGATGGTTAGAGATCTACATTTGCACTATAGTATGGGACTTGGTGATCTGCCTGGTCCATGTAAGGAAATATACCTTCAGTCACTTGTACTATCATCTATGGCAGAGCGTATATACACCATGATTCTTGCGTGTAATATTCATAAACGATCTATAAGAATATGACTTGCACAACTTCCTTCTCCGAAGACCGCAACGCACTATTGATAAGGGACTTTAGATACCGATATGGTCCCGCGGTGTTGAACTCGCAGTGGCATTTCCCATGCGTAGCTAGCTAGAAGTAAACTAACTCTTGAACGACCTTTGAAATGAGAATAGAATCAACCAGTCAGACCTGGGAACTCGAAGCTGCATGTTTACAGCATTTTCGAAACAAAAGGCATAGAAAATTTGAGTAACAAAGAAAAGGATCGTATAAGTTTGTTGCAAGATCATCAGCACATTCTAAAACCATTCATGCTTTCGTAAATTGGTACTCTGAGCCTCGTCCTTAAGCTTTTTCAAGGATAGTAGGGGATAGCCTCAGCGTCCTCGCTGCGCTTTGGGTAGTAAGGAATAGCCTCAGCATCCTCACTCCGCTTAGGGTAGTAGGGAATGGCTTCGGCTTCTTCACTCCGCTTTGGGTAGTA